CATGGCTGCAAGTACATTAGTGAGGACTGCAACGATGAGATGGAAGTTACGGTAAAGTGACAAAGACAGAAATATCGTTGCGTACAGCGTTGCCACTAGTTGTAATAAATATCTAACACTATACAGAAAATAATGAATTTTAACTGATCAGTAATCAGGAAATGTATAAGTATTACTCATTACAAGCTCATTACTGATTTTTGTCATAAATAATACCTTTTAATCGTACTAGTATTGTGTATTATCTATAATTTGCCACAACCTACAACTCTACTGCTTACTATATTTTGATTCTGCTATAAACTGGTAACGTAAAATTTAGATATGACAACGCGTTTTACTCTCAATCATTATTGGTTTCACTATAAATATTAATCTCTCCCAAGATACCTACGCAATAGGGTCTGGTGAACGTCTGTCGGAAAACATTTACTTCCTTGCCTAATACCACGCTGGGTATATAACATATCAAGCTTATAAATTACAAAGCATCGAAGAAAACAATCTTATGTTTTACACTATAATCTTTCATTTGCGTGATTAGCTACAATTATACTTTTCATTTCAACATCGGATTCTCGTTCTGCATTAACTTGGTTGACATATATTCCAAAATTAATTTTTCCTTTGAACTCTCTTGATAAGGTGAGTAATGGTTCTTTAGATATACACCCTGTTTCTTGGTCTATGCAGATCATCTGACATCTGGTACATTTGCCGAGAGACTGAAAAAAGTATACAAAGAATCAATTTGATACATCCATACAATTTAGGGAAAGAGGCATTCCAGTGTTCAAGGTTCAAGGTGATATACTGCAATCAATTTGATATTATCAGTGCCAATAATGATAATATCAAATTGATATACATCAAAAAACGAATTATACTACAAATTATAATGTTTTGATTTGAATAGGCTGGATAAAGAAAATGGATAGTCTTTAAAAACGTGATCAGATGATAAGTACATAATTATTTTTATATGCAAAATTTTATAAATTCATGTTACTGACAAATTAGATTTTTTTTCAAAAACCTAATTCATTTTCTACATTTGTATTTATTTTGAAATTCAATATGCTGATTATTTTTTAGATCTGTAGAAGGTAACAATCTTAATTAAAAAACTATCTCAAATCTACATTGTCCTT